TGTGTGTGTGTGTGTGTGTGTGTGTGTGTGTGTGTGTGTGTGTGTGTGTGTGTTAGCATAGTATCTCATGAATCACTGCAAGAACTGTAATGAAACTTACAGAAAGAAATCATTGAACCAGCAACTGCAACAATTGGTCAACTGGWTTTAAGATGGCTGCCACAGCCACGTGACCTTAAAAAACATAGAATGGTTATGCCTCAGTCAGTTTTACAGATACTGAGTTAAAARTTAGTGGTAGGAGCTAAGACTGATCCCTATCACATATTTTGATTGCTYATAGATTGCGCAAAATCTTGGTTTTAAATCTTGAATAATTATTCAGAGCCAACTCTGTTTTAATGCAAGACATTTAATGAACCAGTGAATAGATTTAAATGAAACTCTCAGTCAATTTATTAGAAAGTGAAGTGATAGTAGCTGAGAGTCATTCACAACAGAACACATATTCTGAATGTGACACCTTCCATTGTTGCATGAAGTTTGCTTTAAGGTTTGAACAAAATGGCTTCAGTCATTTCCCAATATAAAATTAATCTTAATTTAAAATTCTAGCCTGTAAGGCTGTGGAATATATGCATTTGAATGCTCTGCCTTTGAATAAAAATGTAAARGTTAGTTACAAAAAGAAAATCACAAACACAAACTGATATGAGAAGTCTAAAAGGATCGTACCATTTAGTTTAATACCTCACATACACACAGTAACATCAAAACACAATCACAAACTGAACTTAAATTACTCACCAAGACTATGTAAAAGCAGGTTTCTCAATAAAATAACAAAAAATAAAAAAAAAACAAATGCAAAAAAAAAAAGCGATTCAAGCCTTGAATTGTTAAAAAGGAAAATAAATTACTGTTATAAACAGGATGAGACAGTGGTTTATCCATAACAGTTCAAGTCACTGAAAATTCTCGTAAATCATTTAGTGGTTTTAGCATGAATATACTGTGTGTCCTGATTTTTTTTTCAGAAAATATTTATAAAACATAGTATCCCACTTACAGAAAATACCTTTWAAAAAGTTGGGATGTTGTGTAAAATCCTAATGAAAAACAGAATGCAATGATTTGAACATGTCATAAACTCATTTTGTATTCACAATTGAACATAGTAAACATAGRTGTCCCATTCTTGTCAGATATAGGAGTCTAGCTGTTGGGTTCTTGCTGGAAATATGCAAGGTCTTCCCAGATGTTATTTATAGGAGAATATGGTGTTCAAAAACCTGTGTATTTACGTACTTTTTAGCATTGACGGTGTCTTTCCAGATGCAAAAGATGTCCTTGCCATAAACACTAATGCATCCCCTTACCATCAGAGAGGCAGGCTTTTGAGCTGTGCACTTTGAACTGTTGTTTCAGAAATTACATTTAATAAATTAAATCTCACTTCATTTGACCACAGAACGGCCTCCACTTTGCCTCAGGTCATTTRAGATGAGCTTTGGCCCAAGGAAGATGGTGGTTTTTTCMGGATAGTTTCACACGTGGCTTTTTTTTTTTTTGTGTGTGATAGAAACTACCGCAAACCACCGCACAACTCTGCAACTGTAGGTGGTGCGGTGAACTGTGTTTACAAACAATGATTTGTGAAAGTGTTCCTGAGTCCATGCAGAGATGTTCATTACAAAATCAGACCTGTTTTTATTGCAGTGGCCCCCGTGGGCCTGTAGATCACAGGCATCCAGTCGTTAGTGAACCGATTTCTGCGAAATTAGGTTCTGCTAATTTTAAGTCAGCTAAAAAAAAAAAAAAAATCACAAGTGTAAAATTTCTATTTTTATGTCATTAGAAGTACTGGATGTGTAAAACACTTGTGTGCGGCTTGTAGCATCTTTAGCAGCTAAACTTTGAATTAAGAGCATCATAAAGAAACAACATTTAACAATATTTAAATAACAAATACAAAAAAATGACTACATATTATATATGATTGAGCAAGTATTTGCTATTTGTTTGACTAACTTCAAACAGTATTTATAAAGATCCAAACTTAATCAAAGAAATGCTTTTACTCTGAAAGGGCTCAACTGGAAGTATTGGCCAATTTGTCACAGATGATCCCACCCACCTTCAAATAAACCATAAGAAAACTAATAACAGGTTTGCTTCAGTCCCACCGGTCTTCAACTGGAAGGAGATGAAGACGTGTGACATGGACTGAGTGACTGTCATGTTAGCGGTTAGCGTTAGCGTCCATTATTTATTTATTTATTTTATTTTTTTTACCTGATTAGTGAATTAGCGTTAGCGGAGCTAAGATTCTTATTTACTGGATTAATGTTTAGTGAACCAAACTTTTTGGTTAGCTGTGTCCACCACTGCAAACAAGGTCAAACACTAAAATTTTCAACTGTTTGGTGTGGTACTGGCTGAGAACACATATTCTGAATGCTAATACTAGATTGCAACAGTGACTATTTTAACAGTAACAATTAATAATCAACTGTGTCTGTTAGCAAAACATTTCTTTTACTACCAAAAATCTGATGTAGAGCCGAGAGTCATCTACATATGATGAGCTTGACATCTCTCCACAATGCAAAAGATCATTGATATTTTCAGGATTTGACCAACATGGCTAAAACTAACTAAAATCTTTATTTTAAACTTGTATTAATTACTTCAAGTGTTGGGCCTTTCATTTATTTATGCTTTGTGATGAACAACCACAGTGACAAAGTTGGAGGGGTGGGACATCGCAGCAGTCTAAAAGAATCATATCTAGGATATTAATGGCAACTAGTATCACTGTTTTTTTTTATTATTCTAACCTCTAATTAAAAAATAATGATATAAAACTCACAAGAAATGCAAAGTTGAAACAATTTCTTGTTGAAATAAATAGTCTAAGATGGCTGATTCTGACTTTTTCTCATTTGAGGATCAGTGAGTTCAGATTGCAGAGGAGAAAAGACACTGGCATCCAAACCCAGTGTAATCCAGCCGAATGCAGACTGTCAGTGACCGCAGCCAGGAAACCTCTGTRCCTCACAGTAAGGTTGGGCCCTTGCTGGTGTAGTTGATGGTAGGGAAGTGCCTGCTGTCCATATCCCAGGGGCCGAGGGGTTGGTGGGGGACAGACGGGACACTGGGGTTACAGTGGTTAATGTAGCTGGCCATGAGAAGTGTCAGCTCCAGTATCTGAGCAAAGACGGCACAGAAAAGAGTCCCATTAATGGCTTTAACACACTGACATGAATACATTTTATTAGATTCAGGAGGAAACGGTTCAAACAAATTAAAAGCAGAGAAATTCTAAAGACCTGACCTCCAGAACAAAGCTATGACTTTAACACAAACCTGTGTAAAGCAAATCTGAACATGATAGGGTCTGGTTCAAGTTCAAATTTAAATGTTTTTCATTCTGCATTTTCTACCTTTTTAACTGTATTTCCATTTTAAATCATGTACACAAATATTTTGTTTAGCTGTCAGCAGTAGACATGTAAAAACCAGTTTATAGGTTTAAGGTTTGTCAGCTCACCCAACGGTTAGCAATATTTTTTGATGAAAAACTATTCAGTTTTACTCCAATTAAAGGCAAAGGTGGATGATCATTTTCAGTGTCTGTATGTTTAACTGTTAAAATATCTCAAATCAGGATAKATTTTGATGAAACTTGCAGAAAGAAATCACTGAACAAAGTAATGAAAGAAAAATGTAATGCTAGGCCTAATGCAGTTTTATTCTAAATCTTCTGGAAAATTCCACAGCTATGAGAATCACAATCAAACAAAATGTCTCTCCTGAAAAAAAGATCTCTAATTCTGTCAACAAAACTGACCTCTGATTCACACAGGATTATTTACCTTTGGTTTAGCCATGGCAAAGACCAGCTTCTCCACACTTCTTTTCCCAACTCCAGACTCCCCCTGTTGGTTCGTGACCACCATGAAATCATCACGGTAACCTCCGAAGGTAATCACAGAATGGTAGGGATAGGTGACCAGGGTGTGCTGAAAAAAAAGTTGAGATTTGTAGGAAAACATAAAAAAGGTTCATATTTATGCAATGTTTGAGAAATAATGATTTCAGAATTTTTGGAAAGTACACTGAATATTATAGAGAGAAAAATGCTCTGTCTTACTTCCTGAAAGCACACGAATAAGACTGTGCGTCAAACCGAATAATGAGAAAGATCACCTTTTACAGAGTCACTAGTGACAGGTTGGAAGTGCTTCTGTCAGGGTCAAGCATGTCAAACCTGTGTTGTTTGAACCATCTCCCGTTCCATCCTACCATCAATCGTGAACAAGACACCCAGACACTTAAACTCCTCCACTTTAAGGAACAGAGTCCCCCATGACCCGGAGGGGGCATTCCAGTTAAGAACTATGGCCAAAGATACAGCTTACTCTCATCTCAGCTATTTCACATTCGCCTGCAAACCTCCCCAGTGCACAACGAAGGTCTTGGCTTGAAGACACCAGACGACTTTGTGCCACGTATAAGAACACAGCTCCTGCTTTGGTTATATAGGGACTAGATCACTCTCAATAGCAACACAGACAGRTAATACTCCTGCAGCACCCCCCACAGAATGCCTCAAGGAACACAGTCATAAGCCTTCTCCAAGTCAACAAAACACATGTAGACTGGAAAGGCAACACCCATGTCCCCATTGCCAACTCTGCAAGGGTAAATAACTGGTATCCACAGTTCCACGACCAGGATGGAAGACAAACTGCTCCTTCTGTATCAGAGCTTTGACAATCAATCGGAGCCTCTGTTTAGACACCGTGGAGTAAACTTTCCTGGGGAAGGCGAAAAGTGTGATCCTAAAATGGAACACATTCTCTGGTTCCTCTCTTTTTAAAATGGGAACCACCACCTCAGTCTTTCAATCACAACATCCAGAGCCTTCAGCATCTCAGGGCGAATCTCATCCACCCCTGCTGCCCTGTCACCAGGAGCTGGTAAGCCCAAATGCATAGTGAGGGTGAACGGGGAATGTCCCAGAGGAGGACAGGGACATGGAATTTGAATGGGCCATGTTCAGAGCCTCTATTGCATCAGTGGCTTCCAGGAGCTGTGGCCTGAAGGTCATTGGTGTCTGTTGTGGCAGCAACCAAAGGGCCCACTGGTGGAGACCAGTGGTAATGAAGGCCATCAAGCTGAAGGAGGAGGCACTTTAGGACTTGGCCTTCACTGAGGACTCCTGAAGCAGCTGACAGGTACAGGATGGCCAGAAGGATCACAGCTTTGTTGCAAATTTGATGCAAATCAGGAATTTAGGGAGGGCATGTATGAAGACTTTCAGTTGGCTTTGAGGATGTTCTGGCAAATTATTTGGCGATTCAGAAAAGAAAAGTGTTCCCTGTTCCAGGCTGTACTTGGTTTGGATGGGGAACTGCTGACCCAGACTGAGGATACTGAGCATTGGAAGGAACACTGAGGATCTCCTCAAACCACCCTTCGTGTCTACCTTTGAGGAGGCAGAGTCTGAAGACTCTGGGGAAGATGTCCATTACCATGCAGGAGGTCACTGAAGAAGGCAAAAAAGCTCCTTGGTGGCAGGAAGCCAGGGGTGGATGAGATTTGCTCAGTGCATTTACTACTTTTAAATGTTATTTCACTCATTATAAGCTTGGATTTTCCTATTTTTATCTAGCACTTTCCTTTTTTTTACTTTACCTAGTGTTTTGCTACTTTTGTCTTGTAGCTACCATTTGCTACTCTTGGCTTTTAGCTTGTATTTTGGGACTTTTTTTAGTTAGTATTTTGCTGCTTTTATCTAGAGTTTTGCTTCTTTCACTTTAAGCATGCGTTTTGCTCCCTTCAGCTTTTAGATTATGTTCTGCTTGTTTTAATGTTTTTTTTTCCTATTTTTTTTCTTTTTCTCTTTTTTGTGTCACTTCAGTAGAAAACAAAACCAAATACTAGTTTTTTTAGTTTATTTATTTCTTCATCATCAGTGACCTTTTTTTAAGTGAAGAGAAAATAGAGACAGAGAGAAAAACAGAGAGAGAAGTAATTAGAAAGA